GGAATTGAGACACAGAGATAAGGCAATTTGCTGTTGACCTTCAACAGATGACTTAACCTCACTGTGGCTCAGTTTCTTCATGAGTAAAACAGGGTACCTATCTTTTAGGATGGGTGTGAAGATTAAAGAAGCTAATAGATACACAAAACTTTAGAACAGTGCTTGACTAGTAGTAATCTCTCCATCAATGTTAGATGTTGTTATTAAGCCTGTGACCACCGGTTATCTCATGAATTGTTCAGAGATAAAAATGTAGGCTATAGAAAAGAATAAGGAGGAAAGCCAGGCTCCTAATCTAATATAGAAGTGAATCTTAGTTAAGACAATCCTATGTACTTTTAAAAGATTTCATGGTCTGCTTTTCTTTGGCTCTCAGTTTCTTTTTTTCTTTTTTTTTTTTTTTGACTTCTTAGTACAGGTAACTTTTGAAGGAATTCAGCTTACCTTAGATGAACCAAAGAAAAGCTAAAAGCAGAGATAATTTAGAAAAACTAAAGCAGATACTGTGTTCCTAAATTCCCTGTTACCGCTTCAAAGTCCGGGAAACACCAGTTGCAGATACAGCTGTATCCCATTGTGTTAGACCCTTTCCTGAAGCCATTCTCTTTTCTTTGTCTTCCCAGAGAGAAACTAGTCATTCAACAAAGATTGAACTTCTTCTGTGTGTTAGGCTGTGCTCCAAGTGCTAGGAAGACACCAGTGAATAAAACAAAAAGTCCCTGCTCTCATGGAGCTTACAGCCACTATTCTGAAGTTTGTCTGTATTCATCCTATCCTTGTTTTTATACTTTCACCAAATATGTGTATAGAATTGTTTTGCTGTCTTGTTCAGCATATTGTCTTCTTTGGTTTTTTAGGAATAGCTGTGTTTATGTAATTAGATCTGTTTTTGATAAATTGTATTCTGTTATTTATTCATTCTACCTTCTAATGAGCAGTTAGGTTATTTCCAACACTGACTATTATGATTCTCCAAAAAGATCATTGAACAGGTCACCTTGGATGGATGGGTGGGAGAGTTTCTTCAAGACAGCATGTTTCATACTTTTTATTGTGACCACAGTAAGAATTATATACACCTCAGTTTAGTAAATACAAATATACACTTGGAAAAAGACTTCAAGAAACAGTATTTACTTACTTTTATCACCTGGGATGCACTCTATTTTGTTTTGTTCTGTTTTCTTGAGACATTGTTTCACTCTTGCTGCTCAGGCTGGAGTGCAATGGCATGATCTTGGCTCACTGCAACCTCCACCTGCCAGGTTCAAACAGTTCTCCTGCCTCAGCCTCCTGAGTAATTGGGATTACAGGCGCCTGCCACCACACCCAGCTCATTTTTTGTATTAGTAGAGACAGGGTTTCACCGTGTTGGCCAGGCTGGTCTCGAACTCCTGACCTCAATTAATCCACCCACCTCAGCCTCCCAAAGTGCTGAGATTACAGGCGTGAGCCACAGTGCCTGGCCTATTTTATCTTTTTAAAATGCAGTTTACACACAACCCAGCTGATTGAGTTGTGTGTAACCCATACTGATTAAACTGATTTTATCACCCATGTTCATTATTTTTAAAACATTGTTTTGAGATCTACAATTAGAAGTGGAATTGCTGAGTATTTGCTTAAGTGTATCTTCAGCTTCTTCAGCTAGCTGTTGCCAGTTGCATTTCAGTGGTTGAACCAATTTAAACTCCTGTCAGCACTCTAGGGGAGTTCCTGTTTCTCCACATTCTGATCAACTCTTGATTTTGCCAGATGGATGAGAAATGGCATTTGTTTTAAATGTGCCTTCCCCTATTTACTAATGAAGTGTTTAAAGTGTCTTTTAAAGTATATCATGTAGAAGTTTAATGTAATGGTAATCAGAGCTGGCAGCAAGGAGGAAGTATTGTGATTGACTGCCTCCTCTGGCAGAAAAAATGGTGTAATAATCGCATAATGTCTATATTACTTATAATGTGCTAGACACTATACTTTGTGCACTGTATACATTATTTCATTTAATCCTCATAAGAATCTTGTAAGGTTAGTGCCTTCTTATATACTTTTTTTTCTTTATGGAGATGGACTCTCGCTCTGTCGCCCAGGCTGTAGTGCAGTGATGCGATTTCAGCTTGGCTCACTGCAACTTCTGCCTCACAGGTTCAAGCCATTCTTCTGCCTCAGCCTCCCAAGTAGCTGGTATTACGGGCATGTGCCACCATGCCTGGCTAATTTTTATTTTTAGTAGAGACGGGGCTTCACCATATTGGCCAGGCTGGCCTAGAATTCCTGACTTCGTGATCTGCTCACCTCGGCCTCCCAAAGTGGTGGGATTACAGGCGTAAGCCACCACACCCAGCCACCTTCTTATATACATTTTATAGAGGAACAGATGGAGAAAGAGATTCATAAAGGTTCAGTAGTCACACTATTACTAAGTAGTAGAGCCAGAATTTAAACTCACGTTGGTCTGATTTTGTAACTTATTTTCTTTAGTACTTCATGCTATTGGTGAATTCTTAGAGGAAGAAAGTTTGTCATTACTATTCTCTTCTGTTGGTTTGTCTCTTAAATGTGTTTAAGTTTTTGGGTTTCACTCACATCTCTTTTTTTCTTACCTTTTCTCAAGATAGTGGGGTCTTTCCTCTGTAAAGCTTCACCTTGTTTCTAGTCTAGGATAGTGGTTTTGTAACCTAGGATAGTGGTCTTGATTACTGCAATTTTGGTTGATTATTTCTTGTTGGCCCTTAACGTGCCCACATCTTCTGCCTTAGGCATTGCATCTAATCTTTTCCAGCAGTTTGCAGTCTTACTGTGTCTCAGAATCACATATGAAAATTTAAAAATCATAGATACCTAGGTTCCAACCCTGGCAATTCTGATTTGGAAATACTTATTTTTCTGTTGCACAGCCATGGTAGAGACCCATTTTCTTAGGGGTTAACAATGCTTTAGAGTCACACAGACTTAAAGCAGAGCCCTGATGCCGTTAAACTTATTAGTTGAGTGATCTTGGCCAAGTTATTTAATCTTGGCTAAGGTTCTTCATCTATAATTTGGAGATAATATTATTACCTGCCTTAGAGAGTTGTTGAAGAGATTAAATGAAGTAATGCTTGTAAAACACTTACCAGAGGGACTTAGACTACTTCTTAAACATTGCCTGCTAATAAGGTGTCATTATTACGTTATTTTTATCCAATCAAAATACTCACCTTTGCAATGTGTATCAACTTGATGTCAGAAAAATAATCTGATAAATATCACCGTAAAGGATGAATGATAGCTAGTTTTCATTACTTACGTTCCATTAGTTGAACTGTACTAGGAGGCAGAGGCAGATGGTTTTATTATGCCAATCAACCAGTCTTTTCTGCTTATGTATCAGTTTGGACCAACATGGAAAATGAAGGGGAAAACAAATGTTTTTCTTTCCTTCCTAGGAGGATTTTCTTCTTGCCCTTTTTCTCAAAGTTCCCTCTCTGAGCTGAGTATCATTAGCATCATCAATACCCTAGGCTCAAAGCTGCATAGTGATTTACCTAGATACTTTTCTCCGCCATTATTCCCTACTACCTAACTCCTCTTCACCTCCATTAAATTTCTGTTCGTCATGCTATCCTTCTTTCGGATTGCCTTTAGTTCAGTTGTGACTTACTTGATTATTTGAACCCAGGTCTCTACATTTCTAAGCTATTGTTCAGGTAAGGGCCAAGGTAAATTCTGACCAGCTGTCTTTTTGCCTTGTGTGGGCCCATTCTAGACCAGGGAGTGTTAAATTTTGAGTATTGGGAAAGGATTCGATTAGCTGAGCCTTCAGGCTTGTCAGCAGGGCTGTCACTAGACCCTTTGATTTTCTTTATATACCTAATGGTCATAGAGTATAATAATAATGGTACATGTTATTACTATTTGATTAATAGATTACTAGTAGTAATTGTGTTATATATGTATATAGTATACTTTGTTATCTGTATATATAATTGCTTGCAACTTGAAATTTGAGGCTAGAGCTTTTATAGTAATTTAATAACTTACTTTATCAAAGACTGAAAAACCTCATGGAAAAGGTAGAATGTAAGCTAGACTTAAAAGCATAGGTGCACTTTTTTCTATAAATAGAAAGGATGAGGCAAGAGTTTCCAGTTAAGGAAACTGACATGAGCAAAGGCTTGAAGGAGCATGCAAATTTGGAGCATTGTGAGTAGATTATTTTTTAGGTTTTCAGAGTTCATGCAGTGACGATAAAACTAGGGAGTTTGGAATCAAGCTTGAAAATCCTTGAATGTTCAACCAAGATATTTGAATTAGTAGGTTTTTTGGGTATGTCATGAATTCGCTTGGCTTTTCTTGATTGATACATGTACAACTTAATCCTGAGCTTACACATGTTCATTGTATCTTTTTTTTTTTTTTTTTTTTTTTTTTTTGAGACGGAGTCTCACGCTGTTGCCCAGGCTGGAGTGCAGTGGCGCGATCTTGGCTCACTGCAAGCTCCGCCTCCTGGGTTCACGCCATTCTCCTGCCTCAGCCTCCTGAGTAGCTAGGACTACAGGCGCCCGCCACCGCGCCCGGCTAATTTTTTGTATTTTTAGTAGAGACGGGGTTTCACTGTGGTCTCGATCTCCTGACCTTGTGATCCGCCCGCCTCGGCCTCCCAAAGTGCTGGGATTACAGGCTTGAGCCACCGCGCCCGGCATGTTCATTGTATCTTTAAACACTTGGCCTGGTTCGTTTAAGTTGATGGCCACTGCCAGGTCTCCTTTCTGCCTTCTCCCCTTTATCCCAGTGCTTTAGTTTTTTTCTGCCTTTTTGTCTGTTGTGCGCTGTGCTTCGTCAGGCTTTCCCCCAGTTCCTCCTTGTTAATCTCCAGATTCAAAGTTGGCAACACAATGAATGTCTGCTTAATACAAGAGTTTTGAATTCCTGCATATCTCTTTCACTTACTAAAAAGATTGTTTGGTACATATTTTGTTGATAAGACAGTTATTGACTTTTCTGTTTCTCTTCCTTTGCAGACCTAGAGGATCAAGACATAATGGGAGCATTTTTAGACAAGCCAAAGATGGAAAAGCATAATGCCCAGGGGCAGGGTAATGGGTTGCGATATGGGCTAAGCAGCATGCAAGGTTGGCGTGTTGAAATGGAGGATGCGCATACGGCTGTGATCGGTTTGCCAAGTGGACTTGAATCGTGGTCATTCTTTGCTGTGTATGATGGGCATGCTGGTTCTCAGGTTGCCAAATACTGCTGTGAGCATTTGTTAGATCACATCACCAATAACCAGGATTTTAAAGGGTCTGCAGGAGCACCTTCTGTGGAAAATGTAAAGAATGGAATCAGAACAGGTTTTCTGGAGATTGATGAACACATGAGAGTTATGTCAGAGAAGAAACATGGTGCAGATAGAAGTGGGTCAACAGCTGTAGGTGTCTTAATTTCTCCCCAACATACTTATTTCATTAACTGTGGAGACTCAAGAGGTTTACTTTGTAGGAACAGGAAAGTTCATTTCTTCACACAAGATCACAAACCAAGTAATCCGCTGGAAAAAGAACGAATTCAGAATGCAGGTGGCTCTGTAATGATTCAGCGTGTGAATGGTTCTCTGGCTGTATCAAGGGCCCTTGGGGATTTTGATTACAAATGTGTCCATGGAAAAGGTCCTACTGAGCAGCTTGTCTCACCAGAGCCTGAAGTCCATGATATTGAAAGATCTGAAGAAGATGATCAGTTCATTATCCTTGCATGTGATGGTATCTGGGATGTTATGGGAAATGAAGAGCTCTGTGATTTTGTAAGATCCAGACTTGAAGTCACTGATGACCTTGAGAAAGTTTGCAATGAAGTAGTCGACACCTGTTTGTATAAGGTAGCTAGACTTTTTTAAAAAACATAAAGTGATTTTATGTCGTATTAATCACTACCCTAGTATTTAATCATCTTAGAATCTGTAATTCTGAAAACTAAGTTTTTGGCACAATTGTAGGATACTGTAGGATACTGTTCACCAGTTATGAAAATACATCATAGGAACACTATGCAGAAATAAATTACCCAGTTACCATATCTGCAAGAGTTATAAGCTGAATGTTTAGTCTTACTACTTGAGCTTTGTAATAATGTGGAAGATTATCAAAGGTAAAAAGATTTTATCAGAATGCATGTTTTGAAAGAAAGAGGGTGGGGAGGGTTAGGCCTTAGTGTCTATAAATGAAAAGCATTTTAGAGTTTTAATATTTTGACCATGTGATATCTCAGTACATTTATGATATCCTAATACTTTGAAACTAAGGTTTAATGGGTCTGTAGCACTTAAAAGAGGAATGTAGTGATCATTAGATGTGATGTAATAGAAATAGCCTTGTACATGGAGTCAGAAGGATTTAATATGAGACTGTATGGTTTTAGGTAAGCTATTTAAACTCTGAATAATCAGTTTTTTTCATCATAAAAAGGGTAAGACATTATTATGTTGTCTGATGGGGTTGTCAGGAGGATCAAATAGGATAATATACATAGGTGAGCTAGCTCAGCCTCTTTATTTTACAAATGAGGAAGCTGAAGCCAGAGAAGGTTCTACAAACTTTAACGAGTCAGACAGACTTGAGACCAAAGCCTACCTCTATTACTTTTGTACTCCACATTCCTGGACAAATTGTTCAATCTCTCTCAGCTTTAAAATGGAGATAATAGCATCTTATAGGACTGTTGAGGAATTAATAAGCATATGTGTGTGTGTGTGTGTATACATATATATATAATGCCTAGTTTAGCATATAATACATGCTACACCCTTTCCTAGAGATTATAAATGACTTGTACAAGGTTTTATACATTGGTAGCAGCATTAAGACTAGAAAATCAAGCCCTTGACTTGGGTTCAGTGTTTTTTCTGCCACACTCTGTTCTGTTTTGTCAATAATGCTTATTAACTTATTCTTTGATTTTTTTTAAAACAAATGTTGACTTTTAAAAATTCTTAGATATATTTGATACTCAAATATTTTAATTACAGCATTTGAATACTTAGATGTCTTTAAAAATGAATGTAGTTCCTAAAAATTGTCAGTTTTTAAAATTATACAAGTTAAAAGCTAGTTTATAAACCTTATGTGTAGTTTTACCTCTTATTTCATATTTCTACTTATGAAGCAAATGTATTAGCCCCACAATTTATAATTTATTTTCAATGTAATTTTATCAGGTACGTGTAACTGCAGGTCAAATCCTATTGTAAACAATGCCGCTAAAATTTTTTGTCATGTTGTATGGAATGAATGTGTGTGTACATGTATATTTGTGTTAGGTATCACTTCAAATTAAGTCACCAGTAAATGTTTACAAATAGTATTGTTTTATAGAATTATAAAAAATTATTATTACAGTGCGATTAACCTGTAATGTTTCTCTCCTGTCTTTTGGAGTATTAGTTATACTGTATTCTCTCTATACTGTTTGGGGGAGTGGGAGTCACTGCACACACACACGCGTGCGCGTGCACGCGCATATATATAATTTTTCCTCCCTAAAAGTAACATTTTCACTAGAACAAGTGTAGCTAATTGGCACAGCTGTAAAGGTTCTCAAGGCTTTGAAGAGCAAAAAGAAAACTCAGATTTCTCAAATTTTTTTCTTCCCAGGGAAGTCGAGACAACATGAGTGTGATTTTGATCTGTTTTCCAAATGCACCCAAAGTATCGCCAGAAGCAGTGAAGAAGGAGGCAGAGTTGGACAAGTACCTGGAATGCAGAGTAGAAGGTGGATCATTTAACAAAAAATAAGTAGCTTTATTAAAGAAAAATCTTCAACACAGTCAAACTTTAACATTTTAGCTTTTAGATTTTTATGTGTCTTTGACATCTAGTGTCTAGTGTACGAAAGTGGAAAAGGACATTTCTGTAGTAACTGTTAAGATGTATGCAGTTGTCCTATCACAGTTATATTAGTAATAACAACTAGCGTGGAAAGTAACTTACATTCTGTTCAGGATACTTTTGTTTTAAAAGGCTAAAATGTTTGTGCGCTCTAAAATTCTTAATTCACTGGCATGAGTAATTTTATGCCGGGAAAATCTGATTTGTGGTTTATTTAATTACAAAGAGATTGTGATGGTGATAATTTGAATACCATCTTTCTATGAAAAGCTGTGTATATTAATTTTTAATCTCCAGGGCCTTTTTTCTATAACTTGAAAATCACAGACTCATCATTAGCAACTTTATATACACAACTTTAAAAATTTTGCTTTAAACTGTTTCAGAGCTTCTTACCTAAGCCATAAACTGTCTCACCTAAACAAGATAGACCTCAATAAAAGACATAATATTTCTCCACCTGGCAGAAAAGTAACTGCCAAGTAAGATTAAGAAATAAGTTGGGCATTTCTGAAGTATATTTCTCATAATTCTGCAGAGACTTCCAGTTTATTGCATATATGCAGTAAGTGTATATATTATGCAGTTTCTCTAAGCAGAAAAACTTGACTTTGATAGTGTTAAAACATGAAAATGCTGGTGAGCTGGGGTAGAAAAAAAGTAAGAAAAAAATTAAATTAAAAAAATAGCGTTAAAATGCATTTTAGGTTCCTAATGTCGTTAATTTGCACATTAAAGACCTCTAATTGCATGCAAACATTGACCTGCCACACCTACATCCCACTGTGCCTGCATTATTAAAATTACTATTCACTTTAATTTTGTTTTTTCCCTTTTTACTGTTTGATACCAATCATAATCAGTCTGATACTAGAATCATGATTGGTTTTGTTCTTTAGTACTGTCTAGAGGTTACTATTTTGTTTTTATTGCCGTCCGCCACTTGAGAGTCATACATCTAGTATGTGTTTGTACTATTTAGTATTGCATTCATTGGACGTACTGTTCAACGAATTTGTCTCCTTACTGTTACCAAGGGTCTTGGAATTTTTATATTTTAAATTAATCATTCAGTATAAATTATAGGTATTATAGTAACATTTTAAAATATTTAGAATGCTACAATCATTGGTTCAAACTGTTGATTAGTGGAAAAATATAAATTCGTAAGAATAATATGTATAGGGATAAGTTGATATTTAATGTATTGGCACTTTAACTTGGGCACACATGTTTTCTTATTGGTTGAAAGAAATAATAAGTATTTTAATATTTTTACTATGAAATGGGATCCAATTTTAGAAATGAATTGCTGCTTTTTTCTTTAGTGTGTACTCTTTAAGTTTTAGATGGAATTATGAAATATTCACTTCACGTAATTTTGTTACAATAATAAGTTTTATATTTCTTATCAAGCAAGAGTTGCCACCTGGACAGAATTTACATTGATACTCAATATTTTTGATATGTTAAAATGTTATTATACTTGTACCATTCAATTGGAGATTGTCATAAATTAAATATGGTATTTTTTACTCAGATTTGATGAGACTGCAACTAGAAATTAAATACTACATTAAAATTGCTGCTATTTTAAAACATAGAATGTAACTGTTTGTATTGTAAAAGTTGTTGTATGTCCTCAGTGAAAAATACTGCCTTCAGCTTCCAAAGCAGGCACCCGAATGCCTTTTTCTTTTCTCTCTCTCTTTCTTTAAATACATGCCTTCACTAGATTGCTGTGACCTACTAAACCTCATTTTATTTGCTTGGAACATTTTTGGCTTCTCTGTCCACAACATAGAAAAGGAAAGGCCTTCCAGCTCTCCTTTTCTGTTATTTGTTCCCTTCTAAATACTTGACTCTCTGGGGGTGTGAAAAGATTCAGCTCATAATTTATACTACTATTAATTTTGTGGTCCTTCTAAACCAATTTAAAATTATACTTTTATGTATATATTTTCAAAATCTTTGCTACTGACTACCTTAGCTTTAAAGTTGCTAATTTGGAGATAACTGATAGAATCCCTGAAACTTGGTGGAGGGGAGTGGAAAGGAGCAGAATGTGTTTGTGTATATGTATGTGAAACATGGATCTTCTATACATAAATATTCTTTAGAAGAAGCGTTCAGTCTTTACAATTCTAAGTAAAACGTATAGATAACAGAAATTAAAGGAATATTTCTTTAAAATTCATTTCTTTTTTTTGAAAGCAGACAGAAGCAAGGCTAGTATAGTATGAATGGTCAGGTAGTTTAAATGTGTTTTCCCACGTGGAATAGGAGATATTAACTGTTTTTAAAGCTTTACATTATTTTTTCACGAGAATTTGTTTTCCTGTAATTTTCTTCACAGTTAAAATATCCTAATTTATATTTTAACAAAAGAGATGTAAGATACATCAAGTATAGATGATTCAAGGTAATGTTTTTTAGACCTGAAACCATTATTGATTCAACTTATCATCAGTGTTTATTTCTATTGTATCTAGTTATCTATCCAAATAATTGTATTGGCTTAGTGGAGACTGTATGTTAAGTGTATTAGTTTTAGATTGTGAAATTGTGCAGTTTAGGTAAACATCAAATCCCTTTATTTTTGTACAGCAGATTTCCAGCATTAGAACCATGTAGAACAAATATACTAGATGTTAAAGATTACACAATAAAGGAACTTGGCAAACCAAATCTGAGATCCTTGCTTTTTGTTCAGATTTAAGACTGTTTTTTTTTTTTTTTAAGGCAAAAAAGTAATAGATGGTAAAAATTTGGCCTTTATTCTAAAAGGACAGTTTGAACCATTTAAAGAAATATTATGGGTAGCCATGTCTTCTTTAAAAATTTTGAGGCCTGATTGAAGGATGAATCTTTGTATGCATTGTTATTTTCAAAGGTATTTACAAATTGAGAAGCAGAATGATGATTTCTTGCCCCACTAATGACGAAGAAAATACCATTTCTTACTGTAAACATTGAAAAACAAAAACTCAACAAAACTTGAACATATAACTTACAAATAGTTTTGACTGGAATTTGCATGTGGAGTATGTGTGCTAAAACTGCAAGTGAAGACTTTTTATACTTAGAGGAATAGTTTTAGAGTTCTTTGTAAGGTTCTTTGTTCATAATTTTTTATATTCTGTGATGTGAATAACAGTATGCATCTGCACAACAGCACTACAGATCATATTGCTGTGCCCTTTTAATAACTGGATATTTTAAAATTCTTTTAAATGCAGTTGTATGGTTTATCACATGGTTCTCTTTTTAAGCATTGTGTAAGGAAATTTAGGCCTTTTCTATTCAAGGCTTTGTTCAAGTAATCAATGAAGGAAATGGTATTATATATCTATACAGTATATTGTTTAAAGATACTTTAGAGAAGAATTAAACTGAGACAGTGATGTTCAAGTACATAATCTGTGCATGCTATTTAAGTATCATTTTACAAATATAAATATATACATAAAGTAATTGAGTTAGTATATAATCTATAAATTCCCCTGTAATTAAGGGTTATTATTTTCAAATCTTGAAATTGTTTGTTTTTTAAAATTCCACGCAGTGTATTATATAGGGCAAAGTTCAGGAAACATGTTTCCAGTCTAAAGAGAGAAGTGATGTAAGAAGTAACTAGTTGACATCGTAAGAAAGGATATTCTCACTTGTGCACACATATCCTTGATTATATAATATGCTGATATAACATGAAATATTTTTTCATATTTTAGTTTTGAATTGAAGTTAATCTTATGTGTCATTTTTTGCATTTTTTGTCATAAATCTTCAAAGGTCAACCTTTTTTTTTTTTTTTTTTAAATGATACTAGATTAGAAATATCTCAGATGTGGTAAATGCCATCTTTAAAAAGCTAGGTTATCTTTGTTTCGGTTTTCTTTTTAATTAAATTTGGATAACACTTACAAAAAAAGTACTTCTGATTCCCAGAAATCATAAAGAAGCAGGGGGAAGGCGTCCCCGACTTAGTCCATGTGATGCGCACATTAGCGAGTGAGAACATCCCCAGCCTCCCACCAGGGGGTGAATTGGCAAGCAAGTAAGTTACATTCTGTACACTCTTACGCTTTATGTCAGTGTATGAAAATGTTAGGTATTCATTGATAAAATGTGTGTTTACCTAATTTCTGAACTGATGCATTTATCTGTGTTTTAACCTGTGATTTCAATTTTTTTTTAGTGTTAGACTATCTAGAGCTTGTTTAGACTTAGATATCAGTATCATTGTAACTAATTGCAGTGAGGGTTGTCTTTATTGGAAGTTTGGTTGGCATTGATTTCCTCATAGAGCATAAACGAGGTAATACACTGAAAGAATTTTGAAACTAAATTACATAGCACTACATTAAAAATTTAACAAAATTCTAAGTGTCATCATTAGTAGTAGTATAATTTGATTTGGTCAATCCCTGAGTAATTTAACACCCGAAAATTCCCTTTCCTCTTATGGACGATGTTTCTATGTCTGATTTTCCCAGTGTTTTTGGTTGTTGATTGCTGGTTAGTTGGTTTTAGGTGTCAGGGAAGAAGAATATATTTCTTGTCTTTTCCCTTTCCACTTCAGTTCATAGAATTGGACTACTGTGTGTTAAATATTAAGGTTACATCTTTACATAATAAAGTGGAAAATTCAAGCAGTTCCAAGGCTTAAAACATTTTTACCTCAAATATCCATATAATTGACTTACAAACATAAAACTTGCAAATACCTTTGTCTTGAATTTGGATATAGAGTAAATGTGCTAAAACTACAAGTGAAGACTTCTTGTACTTATAGTGAAGATACATTATTGACTAATTTTCTCGATTCTCTACCGTGTTTTGCAAGTGTGACCATGTTCTTTGTAATCACTAAATAGTGATTGTAGAACTTCCTGTTTGAAGCTTTTATTTCTTGGAAACTTTTTTCCCATACGGCTTTCTATGAAACAATCTATAAAATTGCATCAAATCAACTTTAGAAGTAGGGAGACTATAACTTGTAAATACACTACAGATTTTTAATAAAGTGTTACTCAAAACTAATTCCTAGACTTGTCATGGAAATGTCTTATTTCACATTTCAGTTTTAATAGAACTATTAAAAAGGGCATTAAGAAAAGTAGAAGCTTTATAAAGTATACTCTGATTCTTCAAAACTACAATGCAACTCTTACCTAGCTTATGTTAGTATTGTAACTTAAGAATGGCATTGCCATTGATGACTCATAACCATTTAAACCAGTTCAAATGGAGATAGACTATATGGACTTTTTTTTTTTTTAATCTGTAATTTTTAGCCTTCTATTAACTGGGTTGGTAGAGTGTTATAAGACGTTTTAGAGTGAACTCACCTCTACTTAACATAGGGGCCCAAATACCTTAAAGTGAGGCTCACTGTTGACAGCAAGAAATAGAACTAAAATAATTTCTGAGTATAAGATTATCTTAGAAATTTTAATAAACACCTGGCTATGAGTTATTAAGCAGTGTTTTGCTTTCTGAAGAATTAATTTTCTGCATTTTTTTACACTTAGGAGGAATGTTATTGAAGCCGTTTACAATAGACTGAATCCTTACAAAAATGATGACACTGTAAGTAGCATTTTAGCTCCCTCTGCTTTCCTTTCCCCTCCACTCTAAATGCATATCCTTCCTACCTGTTTTTGCAGAGCTGTTCACTGTACCCATTCTCTTACACACACCCCTGATTGATTGCTTTGAACTCTGCTTGCTCTGATCTCTCCTGCACCACAGTTCTAGTGATTGAGGACATAATCATGGTGAGTGGCCACCTCTCTCAAAAAAAGAAGAAAGTCCTTTTGAATTATTCTGGATTTTTTAAGTCTTTACAAGCAGTCAACTTCAGAAGGTTTGCCTCCACTAAATGGTTTTTTTTTTTTCGAAGTTGGGACTATCTCTACTCAGAATCTTGTCTTATTCTGAGTTTTGTAAGCAGCTGCAGCAGAACTTCAGAATGTTTGTCTCCACTAAATAGTTTATATGGTTGGAATTACCTTTGTCAGGAATCCCGAAGTATACACTTCACTTAAATGTTACAGAATTGTTTGCATAAATAGATATTAGAATGCCATACTCTCCAGTTAAGTGTTCTATTGCAATTCTGTTGTATGATGTTTATAGAAAAGTGATAACTTAAAAATCATGTGGGCACAGCTCTGAAATATTTTATGTATTGCATTATGAAGCTTCTTCACATCTCATCTTACTTGAGTTCTTAATCTTTTCTGATGCAATAAAGGTTTGTAAAAGTGGTATTCTAAAACTGTATTGGATTTCATTAAAGAAAAAATTCTTTTTAATATATTTATTGATTTAGTAATAATAAATTTGGTCAGCCTCACCATAAAACCATATTTCAAATATTTTCCAAAAACAAAACAAAGGATTAACAATTATTTGAACAGATTAAACATTGATATTTCATATATACACATATATACTTATATACTTTAAAAAACATTTATTTTCTAAAAGTCATCTTTACAGAACATTATCTTTCTCCATTATCTAGAAAGTATGGTGTATTTTGGCACTGCTAAATTTTAACATTGTTCTTGTTTTGCTTCCTTTTATAAAGGACTCTACATCAACAGATGATATGTGGTAAAACTGCTCATCTAGTCATGGAGTTTACCTTCACCTCCAAAGGAGAGTACAGCTCAACTTTGTTGAACCTTTTAACATCCATCCTCAACTTTAAGGAAGGGGATATGACATGGGTGAGAATGATTACATCAGAGAACTTCAGCAGTACAACAGCTAGCCCAGAACTGATTTTTTTTTTTTGTAAATTTGAGACTTATGTAAACGTGATTTCAAACCATAATTCATGTTGTAAATCAGACTCCAGCAATTTTTGTTGTATGATTTTGTTTTTTTGTAAAGTGTAATTGTCCTTGTACAAAATGCTCATATTTAATTATGAACTGCTTTAAATCACTATCAAAGTTACAAGAAATGTTTGGCTTATTGTGTGATGCAACAGATATATAGCCGTTTCAAGTCATGTTGTGTTTGGACTTGGGGTTGGAACAGGGAGAGCAGCAGCCATGTCAGCTAGACGTTCAAATGTGCAGATGATTATGGAAAATAATCTCAAAATCTTACAAAGCTGAACATCCAAGGAGTTATTGAAAACTATCTTAAATGTTCTTGGTAGGGGAGTTGGCATTGTTGATAAAGCCAGTCCCTTCATTTAACTGTCTTTCAGGATGTTCCTTCGTTGTTTCCATGAGTATTGCAGGTAATAATACAGTGTATTCATAAGAATCTCAATCTTGGGGCTAAATGCCTTGTTTCTTTGCACCTCTTTTACAAGTCCTTACATTTAATTACTAATTGATAAGCAGCAGCTTCCTACATATAGTAGGAAACTGCCACATTTTTACTATCATGATTGGCTGGGCCTGCTGCTGTTCCTAGTAAGATATTCTGAATTCCATTTTATCAATAAAGCTTGATTTAACAAACAAGAAATTTAATCATGTATGTGTAATTCCTCTTTTACCCCGGCCTTTTAAAACACTGTGCCATTGTAATGAGACGTTTCTCATAGGGAAAGATGTTAGTCTCTTTTAATTGGACAACACTGTTACTCAAGGCATAGATGAAAGTGTTTCCTTCCATTAGAAAGACTAAAAGATTTAATTATTGGTTGTACCTTAATCTATTTTTTATATAGTTTCTTTCAGGCTGCTTATTTTTCATTAAGATGTGTATCAGCTTGGATTTGCCTCAGTTTAATTAAAATAATTGTCCAAGTTTGACAATCTGACACTCTATGGTAGGGGTGTGTGTGTGTGTTTGTGTGTGTTTGCCCGTGATTTTTAATTGGCCCATGTCTTTAGAATCCAAGTGGTTAAGATGTATTTGTGATTTGAAATATAGCATGTTGATAATATTTAGCCGTTGGCCTTTACAAATAACTTTCAAAGCTTAAGGAATTGTAGATGTAAAAATAACCTAATTTAATTTAGGCTTAAATTCCTCTGATTAAGCATGTGAAAGTAAGTTTTAAAATCTGTCACATTGAAAAGATTACTGTTCCGTGCCCTTCTGTATTTTTGTCTCTTTAGGTTGAATATTGTATTTATCACCATGTAATCATTCAGTAGGCAGATTCCCACTAGAAAACTATTAAAATGTAAGACTAAAATACAACATTGAATACAAAATCAAAACTTTGTGTATAAAAACCAGTATAGTCCATTTTGTTATATTTGTTTTTTCCCTAACTTGGAAATATACATATTTGTATATATAGCCTTAAAATTAATGTAAAGTTAGGGGAGTAGTGGGGAAAGTAATGTGAAATGTCTCAGATTTAAGTAGTTAAATACCAGCAAAATTTTTTCATTATCCCTCTTATTTTGTGAGGTGATTAAATGTAACTTAATTGTATTTAATTTATATCTTATTCCAGCATGAATGAAGAAAAACGGAAGTACTATTTATATTTAGGAATTCGTATCAGTTGAAATTACAGAACCAATTCCATACTTACAATAAATACTTAATGTCTAAATCTGTGGTAGAGTGCGAAGTATGATAATGTTCTAAGTTATGGCTTTGCAAGTATCTAAATGTGCATTTAATGAATACCAGTGCTTGTATTATAGACTTAATTACCAGACATACTGGTACTGAAAGCTAAATCCCTATTATAACAAGCCAGTTCCTTAATATTTTAAGTAGACAGTTTTAGTTCCAGAAATTGCAAAACTTTGAACTGGACTGTATAATCTTTTGAGATGCACAACTTAAATCACAAGTAAGAGTATGTGATGGAAAGCTATATTTCAAACCATAACAGCATATTTACGGCCTTTTTTTTTTTTGAGTCTTTAAACAAGAGAAAATTAAAATATTCCTGTCAAAATTACTAGTATTGAAATTAGGCTTGGAAACAAGAGAGAACTGTATTTGAGTGATCTCAGAAGACTAAATCTTTTCCACATGAATCAGCACTGCCATACTAATAATTTTTTTACTATAAAAATACAGGAAGGAAGTATACATTATAACAGCAGACTGTTCGTGATTCCTGGAGGTAATAGTGGGGGAAACCAACAGTACGTTTTAAAGGCACTTTTGCACCTCTACTGTGCACTTCATTCTTGTACCACTTAAATTCTTCACCCTCATCCCCTTTTTTTGTGCTAATTAGCATCTCAGGGCAATGCCTCAAAAATGTTTGATGTGTTCTGTTCTTTGGAAGGAAAAAGTTCTTGTGTGATGATAATATAGTACTCAAAATATACTTTTATCACTTAAATGTCTTATTTGCTGCTATGAATAGGAAATAACATTTTGTATAGCAGGCTTTGTTTTACCCTAATATTAAAAAATTTCACTGACCTTTCTTTCATTGTTTTAACAGGGTAGAATCTCCTAATTTCCACTTTCTTGGGAATATACTTTTATAGACAATAGAAGCAGTTATCAATATGAGCGCTTACTTTAAAAAATCAAAGTGATACTTAATTCAGCTTTGGAAGTATCTCAAACACTTACTTTATAGTGCATTAACTTGCTTCTAGAGTACTTAATGCAACTGCTCTAGCCACTTAGTTTTTTATACTAATCTCAACATTAAGAAATTTGGATTAAGTAATAAATTAGTTATGTAATTCAAGTAATCTGAATTACAGCAGTACTTTTAGTGATCATTCATATGACCATATATTAACCCAGCTAATAACTCAGTTTTTTTTACAAAATGTTTCGAGTATTATCGGTAAAACACTGTTCTAGGCTAAGCACCTTGGGACTGTAAAGAAATGAGTAGATCCTTGGCTTCAAGTTTACATTTGGACAATTTATAATCTAGTGTATGTTAGTATTATAACTGGATCACTCATCAAAAAAAAAAAAGCTATTGCCCACCCGTTATCGACCAGGTACTTAGCTAATCAAGGCAGGCCTCTGCCCTAAAGTGCTTGTTTATAAACTTCCTTTACTCACCTGAAAACTCTTCTCCAGTTTATTTTCTTCTCTCCAAAGTTAAAAATCATTCAGAAGAAAATTTTGCTTAGCATAAGAATAAAATTGGATTGAAGAGGCTTAAGCCCATTCAGTATGCTTGATTGCATTTATCGAATGGCCTTTATTCTTCCTGCTGACAGCAGTAACTCAGAGGAATAGGTAATAGATTTCTGAAAATTCTCCAGCCATGGAAATGTAGGTGGGGTTTGAGTTTAAGGCATTTAAAAATGTAAATATCTCTAGCTAAATTTAGGTAGAACTCTGTGTTTTTGTAACACACTGCCAGTGTTAATGTCAAATTTTAGCCAAATTATTACTATGTTTTAATATTTTAAAATAATTTCACTGCCCATCTTTACTGGACAAACTCATTTGGAGTTCAACTTGTGATTTCTGAAAGAACTGATGAAATTGGGTACTGCTTTTTTTCTCCATTTTTTGTTTTATTTTAATTTTGAATTTCATGGTATATACTTTTAGTTCAAACTTGGCTGTTTGTACAGTATTAGGATTTCGTATTAGAAAATATGTGTAAATATCTTAGTATATAATTGTTTCTCATTTGAGGTTTTTCTTCTAAGGGACCTTAAAGAGTTTTATATACTTTTGCTCACAGATACTGCTAGTGAGATTACAATTTTTTCAGTATCTAGTCTTCTAGTTTTTCTTTTAGGCATTAGGAAGCCTTCTTAAGAGTTCAAAATTTTAGAAGCCTAATTTGGTGTTACTTCCTTCAATTATGTGCCATGTGTTTTGGTTTATATATGTTTTAAATTGTATATTACCTTGGAATATGCTTGAAATATTTAAGAATACATTTTCAAAATGTATAATACTGTATTGTTTTGTTGATCAAAATAATAAGTCTCAGTTAAATGTTAGTTATTACTGATAGTCAAAACGCTCAATAGAAATGATGAGAGGCATTGGTTCCAGTTCATTGTCAAATGAACATTTTGTAATTTTGTTCACAGGTTCTTTCCCTTTCAGTTGTTCTGTATATTAAGATAGTGGCTTCTGCTCTCACTGTTTTCCTATTTATATTACTAGCAGATAGGAGTGCTAATTAGAAAAACTTATAATGGTATTGAAATTGCAGTTGACAACTTATATTTTTATGAGATGGAGAAAAAGGATTGTTTAAGTTGATAATGTTGACTTTTTTTCTTCCTTATCCTGCACGAAATATTGCCCTCGTTTCCTCTACTTTCCTCTTGGTGTTTTCTCTTTTTTTCAAACAGAAACAGGACAATTCCATTTTCTTGAGCAAGAAAGCTTAGTGTGTTACTTCATCAAGGCCAGCTAATACTGTGTTAAACTGGGCTGAAAATGAGAAAACTTGGGAGATGGAGGAATGGGGAAATGGCAGTGGGATAGCTAGGGAAGGATTACTCTTAATTGTTTTAAAAGCCATAGGAAAGTCTTCCTTGTACCTGGCTGTAAATTTATAAGAACGATTGTGTCACATAAACCAACAAGAATCAACCTTTGCTGCTTCAGAAAATTTGATTTTTCCAGCAAGGAAATTAATAAGAGTTACTGATTCTTCGTCATAGAAACAACTGAGAAGAATTAATACAATATTTCTTCACTAGAAAACCCAACCCTTCATTTCTTTTCATTGCTCCAAAACCCAGTTTTCAACTAATGGTTTTCTCATTAAACTAAATGTTTAGAAAAATTGTTTAGAGTTTTTCTTTTTCTTTTATATAGTCCTCCTGATCCAGTATAAGACTATTTAGTAACGTGCATTTGTATGGTATTATCTAAAGTAAGTTAAATTGATGTAAGAGATTGGGTAGCTGCGGAACAAAATTAGTTATATCCTAATTAGGTACAGTGAATGACACAAAATCATTTTAGCAATGCTTCTTTTGGGGTCACAGGCCTTGTGAGACTGATGAATCCTAGGGACTCCTTTACCCAGGAAAATGCATATATAACATACATATCTCACTAAAGTTTACAATATTGTAGTGGTTCATGGACCCCATGGTTAAGAGCCCATTCTGAAGTACAGTAGGGCATCATCCCTTTTCCTGCAAAGCCCAAAAATATATTTCAAGGGCATGAAAATAACTTGAGTGTATTTTAAGGAATTGTTTCACTCTAGAGGTAGATGGAGGGCCTGGCTAGAATCTGACATTAAAATACACTTTTTAAAAAATACTATATTTGGGGGGAGAGTGATTAAAAGGTGAAAAAAACATAGTATTCAGAAGTTTTGGAGATTAATGTCTTTCTCTAAGATTTGCCACTTTAGAAATTCAATAGGAAAGAGAGAAAACAGAAATTGAATGTATCTGGAACATTTTTGGCCTTCATAGTGCAGATATACTATGTTAACAAGTAATACATTTACCTGTCAGATCTCCAGGTTGTAAGGTTTTGAGCTTTCTAGTATTAGAATTCATTAAATGTTTAATTCATTTCATATTCTAAGGAATTAGGTTATTTACGTACTAATTCAGGATGTTAAAATAACATCCAACACAGACAACCACCACCAATGCACAGAGTTAATGAGATTCCTAAAATACAGTTAAGTACAATGTAACAAACAGAATTTTGCATTTGTTGCCAAAATCAGATGTTTAATTACAGCTTATTGGCATTTGTGGGACTTCTGGAACATAGAAACCATTGTCTTACCTGGTTATCCCTTGACTAAATAGCATATCTGCAGGAAAGTACCTTGTTTGTAGTGATATGCCCCAATACTGATTGATTTCACTCTTGAAATGAGTTATATCACTTAATTTGTATAAACGTTATGAGTGGAGAGACATGTACATGTTAAAAGCATGTTGCATTATATAGAGATTCATTTTTTAAACTCTATAAATGTTAAGACTAATATAATTGCAGAAATATTTTTCTTAACTACAGTGTGTAACAAAATTCTTCATAGCAACTCACCCACTTTGCAGTTTATGTGATCCACACTTTTAAAGAAATTCCATAAATGTATATTTTGTATTATGTATTATTTCCTGGTCCAAAGAAAATATGTGAATTCAGTTCTAACTTTAAGAATGTACTGTTTATTTTCAAGTTCATTGAAAAATTGCATTCAGCCTGCTAATGGTTGCAGATTGTATGTTAGATGAAAAGTAGAAATAATTTCTAGTTTGCAAAACTGGTGCCACTAAATAAACAGGCAATTGCATAATGTGTGTGTATTTATGGTTGTTTAATATTGCAAGCAGCATTTTTATTCTAAGAAACCTGGAAAATTTGAAATTAGCTATTGGAGGACCTTAAAAGATTTTTTTTCAACTGAGAGATAAATCTGATAGAATTTGAACTAGATTTGTTCCTTCCTGATTTTAGGAAGTTTACTGAAAGCCAGAAAGTTTCAGTTGATGGTTAGTTGTCATGAAACATTCTAGAAATAAAGAAGCCAGAGTAATTTATTTTTGGTAAGAACATTCCCATTTGTCTGTCTTCTAATAGATGATTACTCCCTTGAAGAGTTGAAATTGGGAATTGGGAGTGGTCTGGGAAAGGACTTCCTCACCTAGTATCTGTGGTATAGTGCCTGCTTCAAAATGGCACTTTAATGTGTGTGTTTTTAGGATGCAGAAAGGAAGTGTTTCTTTCCTCTGCCAATTCTGATCATTGGCTATATTATATCCTGTGTTCGTGTCTGAAAGTGACTTACCGGTTTAATTGATTCTAGTCATGGCTTCTATAATTAGAGAATTTTTAGAGTTGAACTGTTAATTAAAGTGAAATTCTGTGAGCTACAAGAGCTCATTTTGTTTATTGTAAAATGTGTAATAGAACAGTAATGAAGCTTCATAACCAAAGGTAAAACGTCTTAGAACTGAGTAAGGTTAAGTAAGGCAAATAAGGTTTTATTTGATTTATATGTAAGTGGAACCTCTTCACTCGTCAAATTGTATCATTCAGTTTTGTTCATGGGTTTTTTTGGGTTTGGGTTCCCCCTTCACCCTGCTTTGGAGCTTTTCTTTTGAATGTCGAAGCTACTTTAAGTTGTTTTATTTCTTTTTTTCTTAATTTATTACTGAGAAACTTTTATTGGAGTGCCCTTCTCTTTTTCCTTTTTATCAATTAATAGTTCAAATTAAATTTCCCATCACTTAATAGCTCAGATTAAACTTCCCATCAAGTCCAATTTTATTATAGTTGAAAAGTACTATATTTTTTAATGAATTACGCTGGGAAATTGGTTTGCATGCCCTCTATAGAACTTTGCTTACTTGCCACAAAACCAACAACTTACCAGATGTTGGTAAAAGATTTTGCTCTTCTGGCTGCCTGTTGTTTACATGAGCATTGTATGTATTTCTTCTGATACCCTATCTAAGGTGATTCAGAGTGCCTGAATAGTGAATTAGCTAAACATTCAACATGTGTCTGTGATAGTTTAGATATTGGCTTGTGTCTTCCATACCAAAGCACTTCTCTATAGCTACACGAAAGTTTTTCCAGAAATCAATATGAACTAGCAGTATTTACAATATTTTGATTTTTGATCTACAAAAATGGCAATTTTATCTAATTTGTTTCTGAAATTGTTATTCTTGAATGATCAGATTGCAAGTCAGTATTTGGTACTTCTCTCATTATTTTAAGTCTTTTAAGAACTGGATGAGACATTTAAAGAAAAGCTGTGTATAATTGGACAAATTTCCAAATGTGAGGCTTGAAAATACACAAATCAAATGTGTACAGATGCTCTAGCATTAGGTCAACATCAGTATGAGAAATGTTATTCCAGCAGTGACTGGGAAAGGAAAGGTTGCTGAATTTAAGTGTTCAGGGAGGAATATAATAAAGACTAAAGATGGGGGAAATGATTTTAAGGATTTATTTTGAATTACGTAATTGAGGTGAGTAGAGAGTTCCTTCTAATATTTTATTGGGGTGTTGACTTGTGGATCCAATTTAGTCTGTGACTTGGAGAAATCAGTGAGTAACTCTCTGAAAATAATTGTTCTTTAAAGTGCAGTCTTTGTTAAAGGTGACTGAGGGCTCTAACTTTGTTCTCGGTGTCAACTCAAACTCTGACTTAGGCTATGGCCATGCTGCACCTTTTCTAAATATATTTTTTGTATTTTATTTTACTATTTGTGTTTGTCTTGGTAACAGCTAAAAATTATCTAGTATTAAAATCAAAGCATTTGCTAGAAGAGTGTAACTGTTCTGGGTCAAAGGGATTAGATGTGTACCTTACATTAGCATACTGAAACCATTCAGGGATTGTTCTTCTAATTCTATGTGACAGTCTTGAATGTATATTTGATTCTATTAATATTTAACGAAAATATTTTTGTGAAGATTCACTGTAAATCATAAGAGCAGAGCTATTCTCAATTATTTTAGCCATTGAACTTTTAACTGCCTACTACTAACAATGCTGAAAGGGTTTTTTAACTAAAAGTTTCCAGAACAGTCCTAACAAAAAAATTTTCTAGTAATTGGATACAGTGGAGGCACATAAGTGGCTTTTTAAACTTATTAGGCATAGCAAATAAGTCTTCATGCACTTGATATAAGTTTGACTTTTATAACTGTTCACCTTTCCTGATGTATTTTAACAGACATATCCTGCTGCAATGATCCTAAATAAAATGAAAGCAGTCTTAGCATTTGGTAAGGCCAGTGAAACTGTTTTTGTTCCTAGATCACAGAAAAGAAACTCCCTGGGTATCCTTCCTTAGAATTTACTTTCACGTCTGAAATCAGGATGCTTGCTTTTTGTTGTTGCCTTCTTTCTTTTTGTTTTAAATGTATAGGTCCCCAGGCCACATTCTGTTTTAGGGCTTCTGTAAGTACTCTTAGGAAAGTAAGTCATGAAATTCTGCCTCCTCGAATTTCATAAAGGATTTGTTTGCCATGTGCTCTGTCCTGATTTTTGCAACATATCAAATAAGCCAGACTGTTGAATGACAGTCTGGTTTTAAGTGTATTACATATGCATGTATAAATATCCTTGTTCAAGGTCAACTCTACAGTGACTGTCAGTAGTGTTACTGGTTCAACTTGACCTTCAGAGGTTTCCCTGCTTCACGACCAGATGGATTTGGCATCTGACAGGACCGCAGTGTCAGTAAAAGCTTCATCCCAAGAGGAGCAGGGTTCCAAGAAGGAAACTTCCTGGAGGACAAGTCTCCATAATTTGAGATAAGGAAGAATACAGTAGCAATTTTTGAAGATCATGTGGTCGGTTCTCTGAATCTCTTGGAACCATCTTTGATATTTTAGTTTCTTGGACTGAATGTCACTTTTGTTCAAAAATCCTTTGGGTATAAAAATTTGAATATGTGAAAATGTACTTTTTAATCTTAGAATATGTGATTTTCTTCGACTTAAAGTCATTTAATGAAGTTGGCATTTTTCTGCTTGGCAAGGGAGGAAGAGGAAAAGGGAAGGTGGAAGAGGGGAAGAAAAGGAGATAAATACTAAGGGCAAGAAAGAAGTGTTAAAAGTGAAAAAGAAGGTATGTTTTCTAAAAGTTAGGAAAATCATATTTTTATGAAATTAGCCACCTTATAAATCATCCTTATGTTTTATAGCAGTCTCTAATGCTTGGAAAATTAGTCATGTCTCTTCCCCACCCCCCATTCCCCCATTATGTTTTTAACTCTCCCCTCCAGAGGGGGTGAGTTAGGGGGAGGAGGAAATAATGAAGCTTTGATTGTCAACTGTCATAGGTTTGATTAGCAAAGCGATTAAAACTAGGTTTAAAATAAAGGATTGCAGATTTCCCTTCTGTTATCGGTTCCCTGACTTCTCTGAAGTAGTGGTTCTCAACCTGCCAGCAAGGTAGAGTGACCTGGGAAGCTTTAAACATCCTTTGGCAGTGAAGGTTAAGTTGGAAGGTTCAGCTGAAAATTACCCCTCCCCTCATCCTCAGTGAATCCCTGCATCCTCCCTGTGCCTGCTCAGATCATGTCATTCCTCTGTTCAAATCCCTGCCACTCAGAGAAAGCCAGCGTCCTTATAGTGGCCTGCAAAGCCCCGTATCTTATCTGGTCCCTGTGACCTATTGAACTCACCTTCCTCAGTCTGCTTTTGATGTACTGGTCTTATGGCTGACCTCAGAACAGGCCTGTCCCACTCAAGCCCTAGGGTCTTACAGGCACTTGGCTCTAGCTGTTCCCCCTACCTGAATTGTTTCATTGGCCAAAGCAAGTCACATTGGCAGTTCAGGAGGGCCTGAAAGAACAAATCAAAATATTTGTGAACAAGCCTAGTCTCTACTGTGGTGGTCAATGTGTATTTGATGACTGAAGAAGATTGTGCATCTGCGTGTGTCTATAGAAGATGAGATTGGCATTCTATTTTTGCCAGGAGACATAGTCTTATTTGAACTGGGCTATTTGAGATGAGTGCTGGTAGCAGAGAGGCTGGGACCACATGAAATGGTCTCATTATAAGGACTCATAATTAGGAGGAGGTTCATGTTCCTGCATTTGTGGGGGAGTGGGAACACCCAGCTTTAAAGGTAAGGTTAAATTTGCATAGGCAGAGCTAAGTAGAAAGAATTTTCCAGCATAGGAAACAGGTATGCATTACGTAGAGAAGGCAGCAGAGGCCAGTGATGATAGTGTTCTTGCCAGGAACTTTCTGCACTTAGATTCCCTAAGGGGGTCAAGAGAGAGGTTTAGATAAAGTGTATCCCTAAGAAAAAGCCTGCTTTTTATGTCCTTTGCTTTTTGAAAAGAGCTGTCACTGTTTGTAGGCATCCCAGTTATGAAAAACGCTGCTTATCTCAAATCAGCTTTACTCTCCAGTGGCATTTTAATAATACATGGAGAAGTTGTTCTCTCACCCAGTACAGTGATGCCCCCAACCTAGCAGCCTTTAAATGATTTTGGCTGATTGTCCAGTCAGGAAAATTCACCTGAGTGGAGTGTTCTGGGCTGTAGAGAGACTTGGCAGTGGTCCTGACAGACCTGTAAGTCCACAGTAGGAAACATTCTTCATTACCATAGCTGAGTACCATGTAGCTGGCCTGGCTAGCATCTGGCCAGCATGTGCCAGAAGTGGTTTAATTTTAACGGTGCACTTTGAGAGCGTGCGTGGGAGCAGAGAGACTGGGGCCACATAAGGCTGTTTGAGGCTTCCTGTTTGCTCTTGCTTCAGTGCTGCTGCTGCACGCTACCACCATTCTCCCATCCTCCAAAACAACATTAATGT